TGGGGGCGGGGGCTGGTCCCTCTCCCAGGCCACAGTTACAGGCGCTGGCACCCGGTACCACGGGGTGGGTGGCTTATCCCACTCCCAGGCCACAGGTGCAGATGAAAGGACATATGCACCCATGTGTTCATAGCAGCACAATTCACCATAGCTAAGATTTGGAATCAGCCTAAGTGCCCATCAGGAGATGAGTGGATTATAAACTGTGGTATATCTATAAATGGAATACTACCCTGCTGTTAAAAAGAAGGAATTCTTACCATTTGCAACAGCATGGATGGAACTGGAGACCATTACACTAAGCAAATAAGCCAGTAAGAGGTAGGTAGATATCACATAATCTCACTCATTTGTGAAATATAATGAACAACATAAACTGATGAACAAAAACAGATCCAGAGACAGAAAAGCATCGATCAGACCGTCAAACCTCCAAGGTGAGACAGGGGAGGGTGGGGGTAAGGGGGAGAGATCAACCACAGGACTTATATGCATGCATATAAGCCTAACCAATGGACACAGACACCAGGGGGGTGAAGGCATGAGTGGAGTGGGGGTGAGGAGCAATGGGGGAATAAGGACACATATGTAATACCTTAATCACTAAAGAAAAATAAATAAATAAATAAATAAATAAAACATTACTACTTGGACTGTCAAAAATCTTCCACTAAAATATTTGGCAGGTCAAGTTATTTGCTAAAATGATAATTTCAAATTACGGTTTATATTGTTACTAGAGGCTCGGTGCAGAAAAATATGTGCACTCAGGGGGGTCCCTCAGCCCGGCCTGTGCCCTCTCACAGTCTGGGACCCCTCGGGGGATGTCCACTTGCCAGCAGGGAGCAGGCCTAAGCTGCAGTCGGACATCCTTAGCGCTGCTGATGAGGCGGGAGAGGCTCCCGCCACCACTGCTGTGCTGGCAGCCGTCAGCCTGGCTTGTGGCTGAGCAGAGCTCCCCCTGTGGGAGTGCACTGACCACCAGGGGGCATCTCCTGCGTTGAGCGTCTGTCCCCTGGTGGTCAGTGTGTGTCATAGTGACCAGTCATTCCCAGTAGTTCTGCTGTTAGGGTCAATTTGCATATTACCCTTTTATTATATAGGATTTTTAATATTAGATACTTCATTAACTAGGTTTTCACCGTATTTAATCGCACAAATGCCTACAGGTTCAAAGATTTTGGGGGTTGGTTTAAGACAACTGAAATGTCCATTCCCTCACGGTATAATAATATAAACCCACTCTCTCTAAAATTCCTCATCTCAACACCTTTCTCACCCCCCAAAACACATACATCCTATTTTTAAGCTCTATTTCATCCCAAGAGTTTCTCTTTTAGGAAAATAACCAGTAAAATAATATCCTATTTGAACAGTCTCTTTAGTTGACAATGGTTCAAGGTACCTAGAATCAGATCCATTAGCTAGTGCAATGTTTGCTAGATTTTGGGTACTCAGGCACGTAAACATTAGCAAAACTATATATATCATACCATAGACAACTTAAAGGGAAAGAAAGGGAACATATGCTGAAACATTTTTTTCCCATACAAAGCACCACTAGTATAGTATGGGAGAAGTGAAAACTAGGAAAGAAAAATTATGATAGAACATTTATAACCATCTCACATCAAACACACAAACTCTTAAGACAAAAATCCTTCTTAATTGGTTGCAAACGCTACTCCTGATTTTTTTTCTATAAGTACCTTCTATTAATTAAAATTTAGTCCTCTCTTTTAAAGAGGAAATTAAAAATCACGATATCTTATAACGAATAATATTTCACAATGAGACTTTTAAGCTGTGGTGTGCATGTTTTTCTACTGTGTCAATATTACAAAGATATCTTTTCCATTAAATGTAATGTAATTAAAAGTGATTATACACTTTTACAGCCAAAAATAAAATAAAATACTTTCTTGTGGAAAGTATTTGTGGACACCTAAGCAAGCAACTTTTTTCTTAAATAAAAGCACAATTATTTCCCAGAAAGTGTTACAATACTACTAAAAATTGAAAAATTGTGCATGCGCGCGCACACACACATATGCATCCAAAACATAAATTACGATATTTCTATTTTTAAAAAATATTGTTATTGATTTCAGAGAGGCAGAGAGAGATAGAAATGTCTATGATGAGAGAGAATCATTGATGGGCTGCCTCCTGCATGCTCCATACTGGGGATCTGGCCTACAACCTAGGCATATGCTCTACTGGGAATCAAGCCTTGACCTCTTGGTTCATAGGTCAACCACTGAGCCATGCAGGCTGGGCTAATTATATTTATTGATTTCCTGATTCCTAATTACACTCTAGGTAAGCCTTTCCAATAGTTTAGAATCACAAAAGAAGGGGACACAACTGAGAGTACCTTACTGAGCCTCTCCTCTGAGTGGAGGTATAGAAATTTCATTCCTTTGCGTAGTTATAACATTCTGCATTAACACTTATTTCACAAAGCTAGAATGTGCTTTAAACAGCAAAAGGAGGTATTTAACGGGCCATTGATTTTAGTCCATGTCTGTACTCTCACTTGACAAACAGGTACTTTCTGCATCGCTGGTGCTATTTTCTCCATGTTCCGCAAAGTCAACAACTGAGGTAGGTAAATAAAGTTCAGACCTTTTTTTAATGATACTGTATCACTGATATAATATCCTTGTGATGAATTAGGTTAAATCTCTCTTCCCGAGGTTTTGTTAAAGTATACTAATCGACTATAGGAAAAACTACTTCATAAAGATACATTTATATACACTCCAAAAGAAATAAATTACTTTTGAGGCAAAAAGGTAAACTTAAATTACCTTACTTATTTAGTCTTCCCATTCCTAGGACTTGCATTAAGACCTTAAGTGCTCATAAAGTTTTTCTTGATGCCACCCATGAGGGGAAAGCAAAATCTGATAGTAGAGGAAAATGTGTGACCAAA